TACAATTTTCATGGACTTTTTTATTTGCTTTTGATCTGGTGCGCCTTTCTCGGATTCTATGAGTAACACACAAAGAGTTGAGTATTATATTCCTAGACTAGATTTCTTTCTGGTTTAAAAATGATTGCAAGATAGGATTACATACCTACAGGGGCGGACTGACAACTCATGGGGCCCCCGGGCAATAGGGGATCATGGGGCCCCTGTGTCCTTGCCCAAACTCAAAAAAGCCTATGAAAAAGGTACCAGGGGCCTCTTATGGGGCCCCCTACTGACCCCGGGCCCTCAGGCAGTGACCGAGTTTCCAAATGGTCAGTCCGCCCCTGCAAACCTATGATAATATTTGTGTTACAGAAGACTTTTTAAAGTAGTTCTTTGTTTGACCAGCTCTTGTGGGCCCCAGCATTTCTAATTAGAAATGACATTTTTATATATAAAATTCATAAAAGCAGCTGTAAAAGAAGCAGAAGAGGGTTGCCCCGCTATAGGTCCTCAATAGGTTCCTCAGGTTCCTCCTCCACCACTCTGACTGCCAGCTTTTAAAAACCCATCCCGCGCATGTGTAGAAAAATAAAAAAAAAAGAAAGCCGCACGCCATAACAGTCACACCATGAAGTTTAATCAATGTAGCCTGCTTCCGACACAGTCCCCGCCCTAAGCCACACCCTCCTGTTGCGTTTTCCCCTGATTGGGTTTTTTCATAGAGGTCTACCTCTAAGGTTACCAGAATAAACCTAAAACATGGTCATATGCTGAAACATTGGGGGAGATTTACTAAAACTGGAGCATGAAAAATCTGGTGCAGCTGCGCATGGAAACCAATCAGCTTTCAGGTTTTATTGTCAAAACTTATATGAACAAGCTGAAGTTAGAAGCTGATTGGCTACCGTGCACTGCTGCACCAGATCCTGAGTGCTCCAGTTTTAGTAAATCCCTCCCATTGCGTCCTAATTACACATGCACATAAAGTGATTCTAAAGGTTGTTTTTTTTTTTTTAATAATAAACATGCCTACACTTACCTGCTCTGTGTAGTGGTTTTACACAGAGCAGCCAAGATCTTCCTCTTCTTGGGTCCCCCGCAGGTTCTCCTGGCCCCTCCTTCCTGTCGGGTGCCCCTACAGCAAGCACCTTGCTTTGGGGCACCCGCTGTTCCGTGTGTCCATTCACACATGGAGCCGTGGCTTGGCCCCGCCCCCTCTCTCTCCTCATTGACTGACTGGCTGTGATTGACAGCAACAGGAGCTGTCTCAGCCAATGAGGAGACAGAGATCTGGGACAGCCGAGGCTGTCATGCACATCACTGGATTGCGGTGGGGCTCAGCTGACATCTTTGGGCGGCTGACTTCTGTGTCCCGAACACCAGCTGCTGTCATTGGCCGGATGGGGATGACGTCACTCCCATGCATGCATGGATGTTCCATCAAATTTGGCCAAATTTGTAAAGTGAGCTGCGCAGGGGTGGACAGACAGGTAGGTAGCTCTAATGTAGCATGTCTCTTTTGCATTACAAATCCTGCTTGGCCGCCCATTTTTTATTTTTCTTACGTAATGTTCCACTTCAAGCTGACCATAGATGGTTCAAAATCTGACCTGTTCAGCAGGGATTGGGCGAATTTTGATCCATCTATGGCCGGTCCTGTTTGAGAGATATGAAGAGACTTGCTGGAAATTGTTAGCCCAATCAGCAGCTCTGATCAGTGTATTTTGAGTCCAGCAGACTCCCCAGCTGTCAGAATACAATGGCATAGCAGAGAGGATTCCCCCTTCCACCTCCATTGAATGAATGGGGGAATCAATTCCGTTTTTTATGGCCAGCTTCACTTCACTTCTAGAGGGTACCGGGAAAGAGTAAATTTTCATGTTATCTCATGGTAGGAAGAGCCTGGCAAGCTAGGAACACATCATTAAGTGTTCCTGCATGGCGACCACTTCCTGTTATCTCACATATATATTCTTATTATTATAGCCAAATTTACCACCCTAACTCCTCCCACAGTTTTTACACTACATAGACAGTAATATACTGAAACGTGCGGATTGTTCCCGATTGGTGTGCTATTACTTTGTGGATTGTTTCGCCGAATGGTTCACGAAATATCAGCGTTTTTGTGGTGAAATTGGTCCCATAGGAATGAATGGCGGAATGTTCAAAACTAGAGTAGGAGCTGACAAAAGCTAGAGTGTGAGCTGAAAAATCAGGACATGATTTATAAACTGTCATCACTCCCTCATTTTCAAGCCCACCTACACAAATCTTATATCAAAACGTTCAGCTATCCCTGCTGCCACTAAAAGCCATAGTGCTGATAGTTTTCACAATATGGCCATTTGTTTGCAACTCACGCTGCCCATTGACATTCATTGAAATTCCACTCTAGCCACCTCAAATTTGAAGGGCAATTTCTAAACTGCGACTGTGCCTTCATTTTTAATATTTCAGAGACATACTAGGCATCAAAATGTAGGTCTGGGTCTTGTGATTCTCACAATATAAAGCTCTTCGCTGTAGGATTTATAGTTTTTAAAACTACGACCATTTGAATACGCAAGTGAAGTGAGCAATTTGGAGCAGTTTGTTTTTAACCGCTCTTCTCTGCCCTATTTGAAATCTAATTTTGAATTGGTGACAGTTTGGCCGGCTTCTGGTTAAAGGTTTGGAAATAAGTTTTCAACAGTAGAGAGTATTTGAGGTGATAATGCTGCTAATGTTTTTATAAATGTATGTTGTAATGTAACTGTGAAGCACTTTGGGTAACAGCATTGCAATTAAATGTGCTATATAAATAAATGTTAAAATGCGTTTCTCACAGGTACGACACTTTTTGATTTTTCGGTCCTTCCCCACCTGGAATTTCCATCGGGAGTCGCGGGATGTTCCCCCAGCGGAATTTTTTCGGTACCTTCAATTGCGGCACTGGTTACTCTCGCTGCGGGCCACTTCTGCTTTCCCATATCAGAAATCTGCCTTTGAACGGCTTTGCCAGCAGCGTCCGGGCACCCCGGGCCTTATCTCCCTTCTTTATGCAGCTTTGAACAGACGCTCGTCGCACACTTCTCTTTCATATGTTGTTCAGTGGGAGCGCGACCTGGGAGTGGCTGTGGATCCGGGGGACTGGAATAAAGCCTGGTCACTCATAGCTAAATGTTCATTTAATACGACCAAGCTGGAAGCAGCCTACAAGGTATTGTTTCGTTGGTATTGGGTTCCGGCTCGTCTGGCCCAGGCTAACCCTGCCTGTAGTGATCGATGTTTTCGGGGTTGTGGCCATCTTGGCGATGTACTGCATATCTGGTGGTCATGCTCGAGGTTGGCTCATTTTTGGTCTCGTGTGTTTGGCCTCCTTTTCACTTTGTTCCATCTCTCCATACGCCGGGATGCTCGGTACACTTTGCTTCATTGCCCCATACTGGGCCTCTTGGCTCGTCAGCAGCGGTTGGCTTCCTATTTGTTTTTATCGGCCACTAGGACAATTGCTCAGGCCTGGAAGAGTCCGTTTGTCCTTTTTCGGGGGGTGCGGGATCGTATGACTACTATGATGCTCAACGAGCAGATGTTGAGTATATGCAACGACTCTCAACGTAAATTTTTGAAAATATGGGAACCGCGGTTGCAATATGCCTTTCCCATGCTCCCCCCGGCCAGTGTGGGGAAGTAATAGAGTTTGGTATTGGCGCTCATGGACCCCTGCTCTTTGGTGTGTGTGTTTTGTTTTTTTTTTCCTCTGCTCTTCTTCTCTCTTTTTCTGTTTGTTTTGATGTGACAGTGGACAGCTGTCTTTAGTTGCGATAGTCAGAGTTTCACTGATGTTATTGTAACTTATGTGCCATTGATAGCCCCTGCGTGGGCATACATTTTGCCTTGTTGGAATTAGAGCGTTGTCTTCTCTATTATGCCTTTTTTATTGGTGCAATTGATAGCCCCTGCGTGGGTGTGTTTTATTGCCTCTGTTTTCTACTGTTTAAAATTAATAAAAACCATTGGAATACAAAAGTTAAAATGCATTTTTTACTGTATCAAGCTTGCCATGTGCACTTTTTAAATTTGATCGATCAATTGGTTAGTGTAATGTTTACTATCTTTACTCACTCCAAACACTCCACACAGTTACTCTGCCCACTCCATAAAGTTACTCTGCCCAGTCCAACCTTTTCACAATTACTCCAGCCACTCCAACCACACAACAGTTACTCCAGCCACTCCAACCACACAACAGTTACTCCAGCCACTCCAACCACACAACAGTTACTCCAGCCACTCCAACCACACAATAGTTACTCCAGTAACTCCAACCACACAACAGTTACTCCAGCCACTCCAACCACACAACAGTTACTCCAGCCACTCCAACCACACAACAGTTACTCAAGCCACTCCAACCACACAACAGTTACTCCAGCCACTCCAACCACACAACAGTTACTCCAGCCACTCCAATCACACAACAGTTACTCCAGCCACTCCAATCACACAACAGTTACTCCAGCCACTCCAACCACACAACAGTTACTCCAGCCACTCCAACCACACAACAGTTACTCCAGCCACTCCAACCACACAACAGTTACTCCAGCCACTCCAACCACACAATAGTTACTTCAGCCACTCCACCCAGTTACTCCGCCGACTCCAGTTGTAGACTACTGGTGGAGGCAAGAGCACTTCACACAATTTCCCCAGAAATTGTAGCTTTTCTAGTTTTCATGTTACTATTACAGCAGTACTCTTATCAAATCTGTATGGTGTTGTATAACCGGCCCCAGTAATATCATCACAGCTTGAACCTGGGGGCCTGTAATGGGGGGATGACATGTCCTCCTATGACTTCTGAGAAATTTAAAGAAAAAAGTGCACAATAAAAGAAGAAACTGAGCTGGTTAGTATTCATATCTCATTAGATCAGCTACATAAGTCAATGAAAGGATAGCTAGTGTGATCACCGGGTGTAATTCGGCTGTAAAAGGCTTTTCAGTGTATGGTATGTGGAGATCTGTGGACACTTACATGGAGCTGACTTTGTCTTCGGGACCTTGTACCTGGCCCACTACGGTCCCCTGCCTTGTATTTTTCACCCATCCAACCACTCCAAGCTTCTTGGCTTCATCTTCTGTATACTACACAAATAAAACATATGTGATAGTAAGTATACACATAAAAAGCTGCATTCCACGCAAACAGCTAAAAACACCGAACAGATGAAATTGAGCTGCTAAACCTACCAAAGGATTTGTATTTCTGTCTATCCTACTCTGCCTGTTCAGCACAGCCAAGTGGATGACAACACTTTTTCAGTTACAGGTATAGATTGTAGAAGTAATACATTAGTAACCCCCCCACACACACCCTGCTGAATGAACAATGAAAGAGTAGCAGGAGAATGATTAGGTCATATCTCTGCTCTCTCTGTACTCTCCTCCTGTGAGCATGCTCCTTTTCAGCACTAGTGTTGGGGTAGAAGTTCGACTCGAACACCGGCTGTTCGTATGTTCGGCGAACACACGAACGGTAATGGCGTTTGGCAGGCTGTTCACGCCCCACAATGCACTGACAGTGCATTGTGATAGACCAAAGCAATGCACCTCACCACAGGTCCTTTGCAGTGCTTTGGCCAATCCCAGCGCATGATGATGTCACAAGGGGGCGGGGATGACCCTGCCCCCTTGTGACATCATCACTGTCATCGCAGCACAACTGTCAGACAGCCGGGAGCCAGCGCCAAGAGCAAAGCGTTTTGGTTTTTTTTTTCCAGCTTGCGGGCATCATGATTGACGTTGGATCTACTTTGGTGGACTATTTTAAACTTTTGTTTTTAATAAAGAACTTGTCAAAGACTGTCTGTCAATTTTGCACTACACTTTTCTTTTGTGAATGGGTAGCAATGGGCAGTGCAGTCTCCAGTCAGTCTGTTAGCATGGAGAAGAGTGGGGTATTGGTGGAGAAGTGCCTTGCCATCCTAGGCTATGGGGCTGTGTGTTTCTGTTGATGCACACAGCGTATGGAGACACAATTCTAATCCCTGCATGCAAAAACAGTTCCATAGGATGCTGCAAAGGAAAAGGAGCCACGCTGAAGCAGGAAAAATGGGGCAGCGGTCATGGCATCACCTTACACTGAAACAGACAAGAGATAAAAGATAAAGAAGCTGCATGTTCAGTGGGGCTTGGTTCACACTGCTGTGACTTTAAAGTCGTGCGACTTTCACTGCGACTTGCTTGCAACTTGATGCAACTTCCATGCGTCTTTGTTGTTATGCAGCTTTGGCATTGGTTAAAAGCCCTCTGAAGTCAGATACTGCCGCATTAAAGTCGCATTGATTAAGAAAGTCCTTGTGACTTTTCTGATTTTACACTGCAGCAGGGGCGGACTGACAACTCATGGGGCCCCCGGGGCAATAGGGGATCATGGGGCCCCTTTTTCCTTGCCCAAACTCAAAAAAGCCTATAAAAAAGGTACCAGGGGCATCTCATGGGGCCCCCTACTGATCCCGGGCCCTCGGGCAGTGGCCAAGTTTCCAAATGGTCAGTCTGCCCCTGATTATAGAACATCTCCCAGTTACCAGTCCTAAAAGAAACAAGATTTCACTATCTGGCTGGTTATGAATGAACGCTCTAGTCCAGGGGGGCTGAACATTTGTTTACATTTGCAGTTTGGGGGGTAAAACCCCAGAGTTGAGACATGTTTTTACTACCACCCCAACCCCCCCCCCCCTTCCCCAACCACTGGTGTAGCATCAGGGATCGCAATGATGACCTCACCCCACTCTCCAGGGGGCCCATGTTGCCTCCCTGTCACATTCTGTACACTTGGACAGGAGGGACTGCTTATACAGGAACCAATCCTCTTCATTTTCCTCCTGCAACCGCTAAATGCCAGTTGGACAGAGAGGAGGAGAAGCCGGTGACTGCAAGAAGAAAATGTTCACTATGCTATTCAAAAACGAAGCCCTTCAGCGGCACACTGTCACCACTATAGAGCCTTCCATCTTCACCCGTCTTCCTTCTGGGTTCGTGAGTTTCAGCTGTCTGACAGGTTGGGCCCTGATGACGTCACTCCCACGCATGCACATGGAAGTCCCGGACCACGGCACACAGCTCTGAAGGAATGGCACGAGTATGCTGTTCCTTCAGAGCGCATGCGCCAGCCTTAATAAACAGAGAATATCTCCTAAACGGTGCATTTTTAGGAGATATTTATTTTCCCTACAGGTAAGTTTTATTATAAGCTGTCCTGTAGGCAAAATGAAACAAAACGAGTTTACTGCCACTTTAGGTGGCCCTCGCTCTTCAAAAGCTTGCGCCCCCCTGCTCTAGTCTATTATAATATAATTAGGTGATGTAATGTAATTATAATAAACCAGATGATAGGAAATCTTACCATTCGGAAGCATACACCTGTAAGAGAAGGAGAAACAACAGGCATTAGTTCATGATATTTTATCTTACATTATTGGTTCTGAAATATATATTTGGGGAAGGATTATTTAAAGGATAACTTCACTTTTTGTGGGTAAAAAATATTACAAATAAAAAATATAGCGTATACAATTACAACACAAACCATTTTGCAATATAACATGATTAAAAATGCCCTTTCCTTTTGAATCTGCGGTGCTGTAATTTTCTGTAAAACAAAACTCAATATGGCAACCTGGAGACTTTATGTACACGGTTGGTGAACAGAACGCCCCCCTGATTATCCCAGAAGTCTGCACTAAGATACAAATCAGATTTTGGGCATCCTTGCATTCAAAAGGTTAATAAAAGAGATGCAGAACCTGCCACTTTCCTCATTAGAAGCCTACAAGGGGAGCAGCTGATCACTAATGAAAAAGTCACTCCCGTTCACATTCATTTTGCACAATGACACAAACAGCTATTTCTTCAGGATAATAAATGGCAGGAATCTGCAACAAAGTTTGTTACAATCCTTGCAATATACATACAATATATTGCCAAAAGTATTGGTCGGCCGGCCTTTACATGTACATGAACTATAATGGCATCCCAGTCTTAGTCCGTAGGGTTCAATGTTGAGTTGGCCCCGCCCTTTGCAGCTATAACAGCTTCAACTCTTCTGGGAAGGCCGTCCACAAGGTTTAGGAGGGTGTCTATGGGAAGGTTGGACCATTCTTCCAGAAGCACATTTGTGAGGTCAGACACTGATGTCGGGGGAGGAGGCCTGGCTCGCAGTCCCAGCTCTAATTCATCCATGTCTTTATAGACCTTGCTTTGTGCACTGGTGGGCAGTCATGTTGGAACAGGAAGGGGCCGTCCCCAAACTCTTCCCACAAAGTTGGGAGCATGAAATTGTCCAAAATGTCTTGGTATGCTGATGCCTTAAGAGTTCCCTTCACTGGAACTAGGGGGCCAAGTCCAACCCCTGAAAAACAACCCCACACCATAATCCTCCTCCACCAAACTTTACACTTGGCACAATGCAGTCGGGTAAGTATCGTTCTCCTGGCAACTGCCAAACCCAGATAAGTCCATCATATTGCCAGACAGAGAAGCGTGATTGGTTACTCCAGAGAACATGTTTCCACTGCTCTAGAGTCCAGTGGCGGTGTGCTTTACACCACGGCATCCAACGCTTTGCATTGCACTTGGTGATGTAAGGCTTGGATGCAGCTGCTCGGCCATGGAAACCCATTCCATGAAGCTCTGTACGCACTGTTGATGTGCTAATCTGAAGGCCACACGAAGTTTGGAGGTGTTTAGCTATTGACTCTGCAGACAGTTGGCGACGTCTGCGCACTGTGCGCTTCAGCATGCGCTGACCCCGCTCTGTCATTTACGTGGCCTACCACTTGGTGGCTGAGTTGCTGTTGTTCCCAGTTGCTTCCACGTTATAATCCCACTAACAGTTGAGCGTGGAATATTTAGTAGCCAGGAAATGTCACGGATGGACTTATTGCACAGGTGACAACCTATCACGGGACCACGCTTGGAGTCACTGAGCTCCTGAGAGCGACCCATTCTTTCACAAATGTTTGTAGCAGCAGTCTGCATGCCTAGGTGATGATTTTATACACCTGTGTCCATGGAGGGGATTGGAACATCTGAATCCAATGATTTGGAGGGCAGGGCCAATACTTTTGGCAATATAGTGTAGATCATCCAGAGGGGAATGCTTTTTTCTCCACAAAAGTGGAGTTACACTTTAAGGTGTATCTATTGCCAAAATGTGAAGTAGACTTCACCCCTCTATTTCTCTTGGTGAACACTGCTACCAAGATAGGCGGCAAAAGGGAAATCCAAAATTTTATGGTTGTCGCTGGAAAAGGAGGTGAGAGGATATCTTCCAATAGGGATATCTGTCCTGGTTATAAATATCTAAGGGGCGATTTCCCTCTTAAGGAAATTTCCTCTCCCCTCCTAGCAGAGGTGTTTTCTGAATGCACCCAATGTGGACCTGCAACTATGGAGAGCCACCATACCACACTGCAGCCACTTCCACATGTACATCATTGAACACCTTTCCATACCAACAGACAACCTTCAGTAAGCAGGCACTGTGCAGAATGCTGGGTGTGGCCAGATTGTGTTACTGGTGGGAAGGTCTGAAAGGGGCATGGTTACATAAAACCTATCTACAGTATGTCTAACAGACATTTACAACACTGAGCACAATCATTTAAAATAAACATTTTGCTGTCTGATTGTATCTCACACACATTTTAGTACAGGAAAAAAAATTCATACAATATGATGATATGATATCCTAGGACCACTCAATGCATTCTGTACCTATTAATGAATTTTCTGTTGTAGTATTGAATTGTATCAGGTTACAGTTGTTTGATGTATGCTGACATCTAGTGGCGGTTTCAGGCCACTACAACTGGTTTACTCATGTATTTTGGTATCTTCCTCTGTTCTCCCTTCTTAGTGTTAGGTAATTTAATCCTAGCAAGGCAAGGCACCACTTCTCCTTTTCTTCCATGTGCCCTCAGTCAGTGTTACTTCTTTGCAGAGACTTTGGAAATCCATTGGGGTTGATTTACAAAAGCATGAAAGTGCAAAATCTGTGCATGGCAGCCACTCAGCATCTAACTTCAACTCGTTCAATAACAGCTGGAAGCTGATTGTTTTTTATGGAGAACTGAACCAGATTTTGCATTCTCCAGTTTTAGTAAATCAACCCCATTGTTTTCTTACAGTTCGAAAGACTGGAAAACATCCTCTGTACCTCAATTAGCTGAAGCAAAAATGCGTTGGATTCAAGTTCTGAAGAGTAAAACTATCTGTGGATGTTGCCAAGTCAGCAGGTGACCGTACTGTTTGGACAGACTTGTTCTAGGGAGTTACGTCAATTGCATAAAGCAGAATTTGAAACAGAACACAAGGAAAGGGTCAGATGTGATGGGGAAGCTCCTCATTTAAATGCTTTGCGTTAAAATAAATATTACTAAACATGTATTGGAAATCAAAAATGTCTCTGTACATGCGGGTTTAGATTTGTTAAAGAAATATTAAATGAAAGAAGATGGCAAACATAAACCTTCCCTTGAAATTCAGCTGTATTGAATATACTGTAATTAACCTTCATTGGGATCTTACAACCATAGTGCAACGAAGAAGGTTGGAACTGCTATGATCAATGTATTGAACAAGTACACAAAAACTTTGTAAATGAAGCAATTCAATGCAGGAATCACAAAGTATCAAAGCTCCCTTGTTCATTTTTGAGTTATTTTGGACGGGTGCATTATTTATTTTTCTCCTGCTTTGATAAATCTTTCCCAATTCATCTCAATGATTTGCAATCTCAGCAACTACCATACATTTTTATTTTTAGTGCAGTTTATTTATAGTATACTTCAGTATATGACTGGTTTAAATCTCTCAGCTTGGCCCCCAAAGATATCAAGTTGGCCAGACCACCAAGTTGCACCCTTAACAAAAGTACACTATATGGCCTGATATATGTGTACACTCCTCCAAATTATTGAGTTTAGGTGCACAAGGCCGGATCTATAAAGACACAGAAAATAAAAATGGCAGCCACTCAGATCAATTTAAACCTAGCAAATGTTATGTTCACCCCTGGGCCAGACAGTTTCCTGAACACCACAACACAAAAAGCAACCCATCACACTAAGGTTTAGTTAGACCTAAAACTGCATTTTTAGTAGGATTTTGCACGCTGGATCTTCTACCCTTACCTTGCTGATAGGGATATGCTAGCTGGTTCCTCCTAACCTTGCCTTGCAGATAGGGTTATGCTAGTTGGTTCCTCTACCCTTGCCTTGCTGATAGGGTTATGCTAGCTGGTTTCCCTACCCTCACCCTGAAGATAGGGTTTTGCTACCTGGTTCCTGTACCCTCAGTGGCTGATGGAGTATTACCACCTGGTTCCCCTTCCCTACCCTTGCAGATAGAGTTTTGCTACTTGGTTCCTCTATCCTCACCTTGCTGATAGGGTTATGCTAGCTGGTTCCTCTACCCTCACCCTGCAGATAGGGTTTTGCTACCTGGTTCATCTTCCTTCGCCTTGCTGATAGAGATGTGCTATCTGATTCCTCTAACCTCAGCTTGCTGATGGAGTTTTACCACCTGGTTCCTCTACCCTCACCTTGATAGGGTTTTGCTACTTGGTTCCTCTACCCTCACCCTGCAGATAGAGTTTTGCTACCTGGTTCATCTTCCCTTGCCTTACTGATAGGATTTTGCTAGCTGGATCCTCTGCCCTCACCTTGCTGATAGGGTTTTGCTAGCTGATCCCTCTACCACACGCCTTGCTGATAGGGTTTTGCTACCTGGATCCTCTACCTTTGCCTTGCTGATAGGGTTTTGCTACCTGGATCCTCTACCTTCGCCTTGCTGATAGGGTTTTGCTACCTGGATCCTCTACCTTCGCCTTGCTGACAGGGTTTTACTATCTGGATCCTCTACCTTCAACTTGCTGATAGGGTTTTGCTACCTGGTTCCTCACCTCGCCTTGCCTTGAGTGTTCCTTCCCACCTTGCCTTGTCCTTAGATTCTACTTTCACTGGCATCTTGCCTGGATAACAGACTACTCTTCTGATTGCTGCCTGCCCTGATCTTAGACCATTTCTGGTCATACTTCATATGCTGCCTGCCTTGACCTTTCATGTTGCTGGATTTAATTTCATCTGCTGCCTGCCTTTAGACTATTTCTGGATTATGCACTGTTGCTGCCTGCCTGATTTAGACTATTTCTGGATTATGCATTGTCTGCTGCCTGCAACCTTAGACTATTTCTGGATTATGCATTGTCTGCTGCCTGCCCTGACATCAACAACCGTTGTATTTCGTTATGGGATACTCACCAGCTGTGCTACAGTCCCTGCTTGATATTCCTGGAGACTCAAAGTACTTTTTTCCTGACCTTCACTCAATCCCTTCTGCCACCTG